ATGGGGTGATAGGGGAAAAGTGCGCCGGAGATGGATTTCAAATTACTTCCTCATCACTTTTTTCCTGTTCTGTTTTCTTGGTAGAATTTTCAATACTATCGGCGTGAAAGAACAAAGAACTGGGCTGATTGCCTTTTTCATGAAACGTTTGCATGGCAGTAAATGTTGTTTGAATTCATATTTGTTTGGAGCACTTTTCAAAAGCTTCTGAGCTCATAAAAATGGTATACATTAAAAGTTGTATATACTTTCCTGACTGTGTTTCAATTTCAAATCAAAATTAATTCCTGGGTTTCAGTCATTTATTGTCTTTATTTATCAATTAAAATAAGTATCGGTGTATTTTTCCACCATCATCAGTAGATAAAGGCAATAAATGACTGAAACCCAGGAATTAATTTTGATTTGGAATACATTAAAAGGCCAGCTGGAATAGCAATAAATTATTGCAAGAGTTTATGTAATTAAATATAAAGTGTTACCAATTTGTTGTGGGAGGCTTAATAAGTTAATTTGAAAAACTACCAAAAGTTTTAATGTTTTAAGCTATTTATTAAGTCTGAACGTGATACAGTAGGATTGATCAAATGGAATAATTGATCAATTGATAGAGTTTTCCTCTATCAAAAGTTATATTTGTTAACAGATCAAAACCTCGTTAAAGAAAAGATTTTTTATATATTAAATACAATTACTATTAGGAGAGAAGTAATTGATGGTTCATAATTTTTCAACAAACCTATCGTGAAACATAGTAAATATAAATGTAGATTAAACGTATTTTCAGGAAATATTATCAGAACGACTAATATAGACGTAAAATGTAAAATAAAAAATTGTAAATTGGGATAAATTTGAATTTTCTGTGAATTTTTAGCATAGCGAATACTTACCAGATAACACAGTAGGTAATGTACTTTTGTTTAAAAACAGAAATGTTTTATTCGATTTCAAGGTTAACATATATTTCAGTTCTTCTAATATGAAATATTTGAAGAATTACAGTATGATGTTAACTGTTGACCCGACAAGAAGTAATAACTATGACCGGATTATTTTATCACATTACTGAACAATTTGGTAGAGGTACCTTTGGGCGAGTATTTTCCAATTAATAATCAATTTTGAAGAAATTTTATTTTTCAGTGAGTAGTTATTTTGAAAATTTCCTTTGAGTTGGGTTTGGGTTTTGAAATAATCCTTGCCTAATTTGGGAAAAAATCATAATTAGCAACCGTTATTTATGAGTCAATTAGTCAACAGGAGCTATTTAGTCTAAGATTTATAATATATTGATGCCTAACTTGTATTCGAGTTCAACTTGTGTTCGTGTACAAGATGGTGTCTATGAAATATGATTAGAAAGTTTCGTTTCTTTGAAACCATAATCCACTTTTGTTTTTCATTGTATTTTTGATGTTTCTTCTTTGATTGTTTCGTTTTTTGGCTATTCAACAATTTCAGTTATTTTTTGATAATAATTTACTCATAATTTACACGATTAAGCAGAAGGCCTTGATTAAGGTGCAATAATCACTTTCAGAAAGACGGCCCAATAAATGTTTGGACCTTGCCATACCGCTTTCTATAATTAGGGAAAACAGCGAAATTTTTATTTTCAAATAATACACACAATACAATAAAACATCCCATTTAAGTAGAATTTTTTTCCTCAAATGGATCGTAAAACGAAAGTCTGTATCCCTGTCGGTCCTTCTCTTAACAGTTCCTCCGATATTCCCAAATAAACGAAGCAATACGTAGGATTCAAAATAAGAAAATATCCAGAATTATTGAGTAGCACAATTTCAAGGATAAATACATGCACTAAAAAATTGAAGTAATTCCAGCTACCATGTAAAAAGTTAATTTTAATTAAAGATAATTTTCATATCAAGATTTTCAAGAATTTAAAATTTGTCCAAAGCGCACAAACGCGGAAGCTTCAACAAAATATTAGTTTCGCGTATAAACAAATCCACAGAAAGGTCCAGACTATTTTAGGGTACCATTCTCCAGATATTACAAAAAATGTTTTTTTAAAGATCATGAGTGCCAGTAAACTCAGACATTTTTCCCTAATAAATTTAGGGCAGATCACCTTCCTTTGCCCCACAGGCTCTAGTGCGCATTAACAAACTAAATTGTTTTATTCTTTGTTAGATCTTGACTTCTACTTGTTATTCTTGTTTTAATGTTCATAACGAGTCTTGCTTAAAAGGTTTTTAAGAAATGTATTCAGATTTACAGAAGWTATTCTACCAAAAACAAACAACACAGTGCATAATGAATGAACTACAAACATTAAATTAATAGAGACACAAACATAAACATTTTCATGTAGAAAAATGACTCTATGTGGGAGTGTCGTAGGAAAGAAGTCAAAAGTGAAATCTTCTGAACGATCAGGACATGGACGATAGTTTTTCAACCCGCCAAAATGGTGGTAGTCCTATTTTGATTTATTGCACATTCTATTAGATCATGAAAACTAGCAGCTTTTCACTGCTAACAGTAAATTTCTTCTTCTGGAATCCTTCACTAGAACCATACGGTTAAAATGTTGAAAAATAACTCAGAGTAGTCAAGAAGTGTGTGGATATTTTGTCGTGCCATTCCAAAACCGTACAGTTTTAACTGTTCGTTCAAAACCGTCTAGAAAAGTCAGTGGGGTCTTTAACAATACTAGTTGGATCATGTGCTTATGAGACACCTCGTATAAAGTAATGGTACTTGGAGAACCATCTACCTCTGCAAAAAACTCCATAACCGACAATCATTCGTTATGAAGCAAATTCCGTTCGAATTGATGGGGGATGATTTGAAGAAAGCAAAAAACGAAGTAGACATCTTAAGGTGCTTGAATCATCCGAACATCATTCAGTATCTATACAGTTATACTTTGGATCGAAAATTCATAATTGTTATGGAATATGCTGAGTATTACAATTACTATCTATAATAA